CCTATTTCAACCAAACAAAAAGGAAGGTGCTCCTCTTGTCCAAGGGTTAGGGACAAGAAATCCTCATTTATTTGTTCAAAATTTATATGCAAAGATCATAGCGAGAGTTTTGTTCACCTATGTAGTGAAGGGTTAAGTAAATACAAAATAAAGTCTATAAGATATTGTTATTTATAAATATTGGGGAATAGGTATATAAATGTGAAATGTCCATATAAGCAATTCAAATTCACAAAAAATTGTTCATTTAAAAAATAACAAATATAAATGCTATTTGATTTCATATATATAGTTAAAATTTATACCCATTAATTGTAAATGTATTTATATTTGCCAATTTGTAATATATTTACTTAACACTTAAATAGATTTTAAAAAAATTGTTTACCTTTACACTTTCTATCTATATAAATCAAAACAGATGATATTGAAATTGACTATTAAAATAGGACGTAAATGATATCCGTTAAAAAGTTGTAAAATATTAATTTTTTTAATTTAATTTTATTAATAATTTTATAATTTAACTTAATTAATAATTTTATAATTAAATTTAATTAATAATTTTATAATTAAATTTAATTAATAATTTTATAATTAAATTTAATTAATAATTTTATAATTAAATTATTTTATTAAGAAGAATAAATTAAATAAATTCATTTTATAAAAAATTATATTTAAAATATTATTATATTAAGGAATTTTATGGATCTATTAATAGTAATTATATAAAATTTCACTTTTGTCTAGACTTATCATCGGCTTATATTTCATTTCTTAAAAAAGTTGTTTGGTTTCACCTTTTTTATATATATAAACCTCTTTTATTATAGTTAACAGTTTTAGTATAAAACATTATTATAACTTTCACATTCTTTCTTTCAAAATATTGTTTAAGATATGTGTGCATACATTTTTGGGGGACAGGGGGTGAAGAGAGAACTAAGGAAGACATTTTTTAATAAATGATATTTACAAAAGGTGACATATTTCTGAAGGGAGGGGGGAAATTTCCCCTTGCCCCCCCCCTGGCTACGCCTATGATCTATATATATAATTTATTAATATGGTAAACAATTTTTTGCAAGTCAAATAATTTTATTTATATATAAAATTAAAAAATATGGAAATATTTTGAATTAAATTTGCACAACACTATAGATGATAAAATTCATATTTCTGCACAACACTATAGATGATAAAATTCATATTTATATAATTCATACCCTCTTAGTATTTATTTTTACAAAAAAGCAAATGGACTCTCAATATACCTATTTATTTCATGGAATTAAAATACTCAAATACCTAAACTTTGTAACTATGACAATATGCCAATCCAAGTCACTACTCCTAAGTACAAAATTACATTTTAAATTCAACAAATAAATTTAAATTATATTTAGCCAATTGAACATTAGACAATATAACACTTTTATCTCAACATTAATATGTGACCTCAGGAAATGATATACAATACCTATTTATCCTTCTTCCTACATTTATTTCATATATTTTATGTTCATATATTTTACATTAATATATTTATATATATGTTCACAGAACATTCACATTTATTTTAAAAAAATAGGATATTAAAAAAAAATTTCATATGTTAGTTCAAGATTTTTTTATTCCCGTCATACTTGGCGGGTTTCAACTAGTAATAATATAAATATAATTATACAAAAATAATACATTATATATAAGATAATATCTTTTTGAAACAATTTTTTATTTATTTTTAGCAACAATTGATTTTTAAAATTTTGATCACACAAACAAGAGTGCTTAGTGTACAACACATCTTTAGCCGTGCTAAACTATTCATTTGGCGCAGAGGATGATAGAGTTGTTTTATATTTAATAAATAAAAATTTTAATTCGGGAAATTTATTAAAAATATTTAAAGAATTATCTTTATTTTGGAAAAAGCTTAATAGATTATCTTCACAAGGATCTTCATTCATTTCCTCATCAAAAAAAATTTGTAATATTCTGGTGTGTTAGATAAAGAAATTATGTTTGCTCTTTCTTTATCAAGATCTTTTCTCGATCTGGAAATAAGTTCAAGCATTCTTTTTTTGTTGACCTCTAATTTTATCCATGGCCAATCCAATTTAAATAGCTGATGAATTATTGCGGATAGTATAATTCATCTTTATAGATATGTTTGAATCAATTGAAAATAAAAGATAATCAAAATATAAATTTATTTAAACTGTATACCTTTTATCCATGCCTTCATTAATAAATGCCTTACAAAACTTGAAATTATTTAAAGCCATTTTTAAGTTTTAATATTATAATAGCTATTGTGGGAGTGAGATATCCCAAATGCATTTTTTCTTCGCTCTCTAAAATTGAAAGAGCCGTAGCAATCGGTTTTATAACCTATAAAATCATATATATACATATCATATTTCTTAATTAACAACCAAACAATATTCACCCATAAACGACTTGTCGTTATGTGAAAATCTCTGTAATTCCGATTTATAACAAGATTCGTCAAATTGTGGAAATCCTACTTAATAAGACTATCTGTTAATTTCACGGAGTTTTAAAAAGAGTTCCATCTTGTTATAACCGGTTTTATCAGATATCTTCTCATGTTTTCCTTAAAAATGGCTGCAGAGTTTGAAGATTGCCCATGTTTATTCCACAATAGCTTACACTTAGAAAATGTAATTTTTGAAATGATTTTAAAATGGACATCGTTACCTGCTTTTTCAATGTCAACACTTGCAATGAGATTTAAAGTGTGCTGAACAGGAAATATGCTTAGGTAAGTATCCAATACGATCATTAGTATTTTGATTTTCAAATAGATAAAATAATGGCAGAGGAACTATTTTTCATTCGAATCCTCTCCTTTTATATATTTTTAAATTTTTAATAAATATATTTAAATTTTTTTTACCTGAAAGTTTTTATATAATTTCTAGCCTTGTCGGTAATGCATTTGGTAACTTTATTTTGTATCTTATATGTGGTAAAAAATTTTAGATAATCAAATGTGTGTTTTTGGTTTAGCCTTTTACAAGCTAAGCTGGCTGAAACCCTCTCAAGAATGTTTGGGTGTGGCCAGTGTACCGTCATCCCTAATAAGAACTTTTTTAAAAGATAATAATATCAATCTATAAAATATATATTTTTTATACCAGTTATAAGCTGACCATGAATCTACAGTTGTACAGACAATTTTTGGGATGCACAATAAATCCACTAATTTCTTTGCCATGGTCTCATATGCTTTGTTAATTTTTAATATGAGGGTAGGCATAGACATCACATTGCTGCAATTTTGATAATTTTAATAAATGCAGAAATGGTTGTAATTCTTCAATCAGCTGATTGTGATATTTTTATCTTGGATGTAGATGGATTCAACATCTCAATGAGTGTAGTTGATTGGCTTTAATTTTTTTTAAATACTATTTAAATGTTAATTGATCTCTTTCATTTTTAAGGAATAGACAGTCTATAATTTTTTAATTAAAATATTATTAATTCTTGAATTTTTTATTAAAAATAACTTCGCTTTTTCAATAATTGAAGATAAATCTTTTAAAAATTTAATTATATTTTTTAATCCCTCACTAAGGTTATTGTCAAGGAAATCATTAGTCTAAATTATGATTGCCAAAGATATTTTTTCAATTTCTTATCTTTTTCAGAATTCAGAATTAACATTTAAAAAAAATCAGGGAAAATATCTAGTTTCATCTCTAAAACAATATTGATTCATAGTTTTATTCCATATATATATTTATTTGAAAATACATACCTATTTAAACAAAGCTTTTTAAAATCACTTATTTTATTCTTTAGATTTATTAACAATTTGAAGTTATCAATACTAAAACAAAAAATAGAAGATATTGTTTAAACCCAATATAATATTTTGAACCAATACCAATGTTAATCTTGGGTTTTTAATGTTGGTTCCCAGCCCTATGCTAAAATTAATTGCTTATATTTTAATTTCATCATTAAGCTTTTCAAAATATTATGAAAGAATACTTCATTTGGTTATTTTATAATACCCATGATTTAATATTCTATTATTAAAGTAATGTTTAAAATTATTATATATTAATTCATCTTTTTATCTTCATATGCTTTTTTAATTTTGAACTGCTGGACATTGAGGTTGAAATATTTGCGCTGGGACATAATTTACATTTACAAAGTGTAGACTTTGTACCATTAATTTTCTTTATTGGTATAAAATATATTTCAAATTAGGGCCAGGGAAGGGTTAAATCATCTTCACCTGAAGAAGTAAGTACTATGGACATAATTTCTTAAAATAAATTATAAAATAGAATAATAATATTATTATTAACATTTACTTTGAATTTTGATTGAATATTAATTATATTAACATTCGACTGAAAATTTAACGAAGGTGGTTGATATGAATTAAAAAACTGGGTTAAAATTATTTATTTAAAAAATAAATAAAAGTAATTTTATAATACAATAAAATATATTTTTCTTTTTTTAATTTTTTTCGAGTAACATTTTGGTTATTAACATTAACCCCGATTTCCTCTATTTCTTTTTTTTCTGTTTTAAACGAGTATTTATTTATTACTATATTCGTTGATATTTTATAAACTTATTCAGTTAAATAATTATTACTAGTTCATGTAAATAAATCTCACAATATTTGAAAGAAATTAAAGTATGTGCAATGACATTTTGGTAGTTCCAATATTAATTTGATTTTTCTAAAAGAACTATAAAACTTTTTGATGTCAGAAAATAATTTTAATATTGTCAAAATTTACAAGAAATTACGCCTAAACACGTGTAAATTTTCCATTTTTGTTTATTTTTCTGTCTTTTTTAAAAATATTTTAAAAAAATTATGTGCACTTATTAATTTTTTTTAATCAATTTTCTGTGCTTTCAAATGATTACATCAAAATTTACATAAATAACATTACTTAATATCATATATTAAATTACGAATAATGTGATGAGTGATTTTTAAAAAAAATGATGGTAAGTTTACAATGATAATATAGTGAAAAAATTTAGTATGAATCCGCCACTCCATATCCCCCTCCGCCAGGCGTATTGATCTGGAAGGTGTCCTTAATGTTTATATAAGTATATTTAAAACTAGAGTAAAATTTAAAAAAATATATGTATATGAAAATAGTATCTGAAAGGTTTTATATAGGAATCAAGAGTATTGAAATTTTGTTTTTGATTTAAAATTATGATGACGATTTTATCATATACAAATTTAAGCTATCTCCTAATTGAAGGGTATGAACGTTTTAATGCTTACTTTTAAAACTGCTCGTATAAATTAAGATTGAAACGCTCAAGTATATTGGATACATAAGAATAAGAAGCCATGTCATTATAAATAATATTTAAAAAAAATAAAGCAGGGATCCAAACCGAACCTGAACCGAACCATTAAACCGGTATTTTTATCGAACCTAAACAGCTAAAAAAATTTTATAACCGAACCTCTAAAATGCCACTGACCCGGTTCGAGTATCATAATTTTATGCTTATAATATTGCTAGTATATTGCAAAAATTTTAATTATATTCGAATTGTTTTAAAAATTATTATCAATCACATTTGATTGATAAGTGTCAGTCTAATTTTTATAAACTTTAGTATATTGCCATTTTCAACATTTTTTAAATATTTAGGCTTATAAATTATAAAGCCTAGAAAAATTAAATCCAATATATAAATTATTTACATATAGTATTATAAATGACACATCAAATCTGATATCGTACTGGCAGTGCCGGCTACCCAAGTTAGTGTGGAAAGGTGTTTTTCAACAATTAAATTTATATTATCCTTAAAGATTGTAATTTGAGTAGGATGAATTTTGAAAATATATTAATTGTGCGGCTTAATAAAAAAAATTTTAAGTAATTGTTCACATTAAAATTAATCATTTATAAATTAAATATTATTTTATAATGTGCAATTAATAAAAATGAAGGTTTTATGTATGAGTTTTTTATTTTAATTATGAAATAAAAAAAATTTCTTCCTTGTACATAATTCAAATGTAGGTTTGAATATAAAAGTGTTCTTTAGAGGTTCGAACCGAACCGATATTTTAATTTTTTGCGAACCGAACCTTTATTTTTATTCGCCTGAATCGTTATTCATTTCGGGTTGGATCCCTGAAATAAAGTGTATATTAAGAACTTTTTAAAAATAATGACTATACAGCCCGAATTTATTAATGGAGAATCCATAAGTAAAATATTTATCACATTATACATTTATATTAAAAATATACCGCAAATGTTAAAATTGAGCCTAACGCCCTCCAATAAAGCTTATGGGATGTGAATCCCTTTAAAAATCATTCCCTCCCTCTAAGAAAATCCTAGCTACACCTACTCCTATTCGGGCGCGTACGCAGGAATTTGGTCTGGGGGGGGGGGGATAATAAAAATTTTTTAAGAAATATTATTGTTTTTTTTAAATATCAAGCATAAATTTATTAGAACTATTAACTATTCTAATACACAATTTTAAATTAATGTGAATTATAAAAAAATTATATGTATAAACCGTCATATAAAAAACTATAATATAAATGTGAATTAAAAAATATTAAACGGATATAACTGGCGGTATAGAAAAAATATAAAATAAATGTAAATTATAAAATATAAAATGAATATAACCACTATATGAATCACTTAAATGACCCAAAATAGAAATTTAAATTTTTTGAACCTTTAAAATTTGTATACATAAAAAATTTAATGTTGAAAATATAAATTAATACACAAAAAGTTTCTTAGAAATAATTGTATTTTGTATGTTATATATTTACATATAAAATCCAATCTTTGTTGGGATTGAGCTAATTTTTCAATTATCTCATCCTTGCTTGCCGTCAAATGCCTATGAATATTCAAAAGATCCAAACCTTTTAATCTACTTTCAGAAGTTGTATTTCTTGGGTTTTTCAGAGACCTACAGACCAGGCCTCCGGGCCGGACCGTATTTTAATTTTTTAAATATACCTGGGCCGGGCCCAATTTTTTTTTTAAAAAAAAACCCTGAAAATTTTTTTTAAAAAAATATCCGGGCCGTGTTGTATATTTTAAAACAGCCTATATTTGAAATCGTTATTATTATCTATAAAAATCAAAAAGAAATATAATTTATTTTAAAAAAATTCGGGCCGGGCCTGAAAATTTTATTTTAAAAAAGCCGGGGAGGGCCTAAAAATTTTTAAAAAAAACCCGAACCGGGCCGTAAAAAATTTTTAAAAAAAATCCGGTCTGTTATTCTTAAAAAAGAGAATGTTCTTTCATTAGTTTACTAATGGGAAAAGTTGCTAATATATAAACCCTTTTAAAACATTGGGAAAATAATTTAAATGTGCTTGAAATGCAAAGCAATCATAGCATTTTTTGGGACTATATCAACCATAGTTAATTTTATAAACATAGTTATTCAGCTAATAAGGCATCATAAGATACTTTAACATCTTCATGATAAAAATCCAACAAATATTTTTTTTTCTATCACCATCTGAAAAAGGTTAGTAAGGCTTTTGAAGTAATATATGCAGATTGGTAAGTGCTGCATGATGAATTAAAAACCATTCATTTATTTGGGTTATAAATGTATCTAAGAGAGGAGAAATTTGTTTTATAATACTCTTCTACTGATCCTATATTAATGTTTTAACGATGAGCTTGCTTTGCTGCAAGTCGAAGGAGACAAATATTAAACACGTATAGCTCTGCTTTTGACTCAACAATAACATATAAAATATGAAATTCTTCATCAACATTAGCCCTAATTTCCTTGAGTTCTAATAAAATGCTTTCCGCTATTCTCATCTTCTTAATCAAGTCAATGTCATGTTTTTGAAAGTATTACATATAGTTGTATAATTAAATATAAATTCTAATGAGAAAAAAAATTTGGAATAAGCATTGAATCCAATAATTTTCTTGCTTCTGAGGAAATATTTCTTTCAGTCCATTGTGATATTTCAGTAATAGCAAATAATCGGCTCTTCTAACTCCATAAAAGCTGTTACTGCTTGATGGCGAAGGCTCTATCTCGTTGGATAAGCTTGCAATTTCTTTCTCCCTGTTGGACAAGGAGTTTCAGAAATAATTATTATTTGACTAGAAATTTGAAAATAGTAGATAAATATTACGCCACTAAAAATTTGAAAATAATAAGTAAATATCACGCCGGAAAACTTGAAATCGAAATTAATTGATAAAATAACTTAGTAGATGAATGTGAAAAATAAATTTTTAAATATTTAATTTGAGATAGGAATAAATATTAACAAATATTAACAAATATAAATTAATATAAACAATAATATTTTTAAAAAATATATCCGGCATCTGCATTTTTTGCTTGCTGCGTACGCGCCTGCTTCTATTATTTGATAAGATAATGAGACAAAGGTGTTAAGTATATACGATAAAATTATTATATAAAAAGTATCCGTAATCTGGTCACAATCATAATAATCTTTTCTCTTCTTCCAAATAGCTCGTTTCATTTATGGTTATTTATCTTTAAATTTTTTTTTAAAATATCTTCATTTTACCCCTGGATCCACTTTTAGAGTTGATTTTGAGTCCATGTAAATAATTTTACCATCTGAATGAACGAACAAATTTAGCCCTCTCTTACCGTTAGCGCCACCTTAATTTATTTTTTATATAAGGAATAAATAAATGATGAGGCTTTAAAAGAGATATATTAAAAACATAAAATTCTACAGATTATTCGGAAAATTTTATTATTTATAACCCACTAAATCGCATTTTCTACTATGATAATCGAATCTAACAATATTTTAGGCTATCATTTATTTATATAACTCAACTTATAAATCAAATTTTATATCATTTTAACGTTGTGCTAATTAAAAGCTTCATATATCCTCAATCTACAAATCACCCAAATATTATCGATTTTATATCCAGTTATAGTGTTTCCAAAAAGTAATACAAATTGTCGGACACCCTTAATTATTCGTATCAGTTTATTTTTTTAAAAAGATGGTTTCAAATAAATTTTACACTAAAATATTTCACAATTATGGCATAATTGTATTAATATTGACCTTAAAAGCTTTGATAATAATAATAACATTGAATCGGAGCAAATAAATTTGGCTAAGTAATTTTAAAAGATATTTGGCAAATTTTGAATAAGCATTGGTAGTGAATAGGAACGATCTATATCCAGTTTTTTTATTTTATGTGACAGACCGTTTTTAGGACTGATTTCTTCGGACGGTCGACGTAAAAGGACGTCATTCAAAGAAAATTTTAAAACCAGGTGCTTCTTAACTTAAATTTTATGACCAACACGTCCTAACGAAATTTTTAGGATAGGACGCGTGTTTAAGCACATTTCTTTTACTTTAATATATTAATTTATAATAAATGAAATGAAATGATAAGAACAAATATTATTCAAATGTATATTATAAACAGAAAAAAATGAAAATATACGAGGTAAAAGAAATAAAATATGATATTATCATGTATACTACAAAAATAAATTTATTTTTTTCAATCAATTTAGACTTAGTTATTCTTCGTCCAAGAATATAGCGTCATCAAATATTTCTCCATTTTTGAAATATTATTTTTTTTGCTTATCATGCCCTATTTTGATTTTGAGAACTATTTCACAACACCAATGTGCATTGTATAGGTAAATAATCTTCATTCTGTTGTGGCTAAGATAGAATAACTGTATTCAATGGTTTTTTTACCATAGTAATATAATCGTTATTAATTGGATATAAATTATAGGAAAAATAAACTTAGCTCATTATCTTCTTCAAGGCTTTCGTCAATTATCTTGTTTTTGAGAAGGAAAATATTTTTAAAAATAAAATCTTATAAAATATCTTTTATATTTATATATGTATATGTATTATTTTCCTCTAGTATTTTATTTGTCTTTTCATGTTCATATAGATTTTCTAATTCTACAATATCAATAATACTTACTCTTCTCTTCTATAAAATTTTTAGATCTTTTTTTATTCTTAGGATGGACGTATTATGAAGAAAAAACTGTATTTTAAGATCAATTTTCAAGGACGGACTGGAACTGAATGAACCGACTTTCAGATAGATTTTTCCTATAATTATAAACGTAGTTATAAAATAATTTTCATATGTTTATTCATTATTTTTAATTATATATTTGTTATTTTATTAAACCTCAAATTATTTTGAATCCTCAAGAGAGGGAAAAAACTGAAGACAAAACCAAAATAAGATTATATAAATAAAAAATTAGGAATATCTACACCCTCCTATGCTAATCACGATAATATCCCTTTACCCCAACTAACTATCCCCCCCCCTAGCGAATTCTAATAACCTCTTCATATTACAACCCTCAATCAAATTTTTCAATGATTATCTTGCATTACACCATCAGCCCCTACCCGTGATAGCCCTTGATATGTATAAGCTTTTTTATTTATTTAGATGATATAAATATTAAAGATCAGGGATACATTATACAAATTACCGTTCATGCCGTATGGCTCAAACACTCTTCTTTCAGTCAGGATGGATAAATTGAGGGGTTTTCTAAAAAGAATTTCTCTAACCGCGCCGTTCCCGCCTTTAAATTTTCCAGAACCACCTGAACCATCTCTAACTCCAAAACGCTTTAAAATGACAGGAAATCTAGAATGTTAGTGTATAATATATATTTTATATATAGTCTTTTTTCTTCTTTATTGTAAAATCGCTTCAAATGTTAATTTATATTATATGTTAGAAAGTTTTAAAAGTATCTTGGAATTTTACTAAGCCAATATAGTGCTGTAGGCCTAATGTGATTATCAATATTTAAAAACTAGATGATATTCTCTTTTAAGAGAATTTAATATACATTGAAATTATATCGTCGCCTCATGATGTCAAAATACAAGAAAACCTAAGGCCTAGTTATAGGCACCTTGGGTATTTTCCAAAAGCAACTAAATAATGGGTATTTGCTTGCTTTTGAAAAATACCCAGCGATGCGCGATTACTATAAAAGAAACTGATCTTTTTACCATTCCGTGACTTTTAATTAATGTGAATTTAGAAGAAACCCAATGCAAAAAAAAAGTGCAGTTATTTAATACTTTTAGAAAAATTGTTTATAAGGATAACATTTAGAAGATTTCAACTCCAATTAACGTATAATATTATCTTATATAATGATAATGCGAGATATATTAAACGCGTTGCAAACTTAGTTAAACTGTTTTTAAATTAATAATTTTAACTATATTTCATAAAGATAAGCAGTTTAACATTATTTAAGACTTAAATTAAACTTTGACATATAAATTTAATATGTTATAATATAAATTCACTAAATTATTTTTATGTGATAAATTTTTTTATCCTAATGCAGCTTTAATTTATAAAACAGTATATTTGTAATGTTTTATGTTAATATGTTACAAAAATATATAGTATATATATAGTATACATGTCGTATTGGGATATGGAAGGGGATTTGAATTTCTGAATTTTATATAATTTACTGAGGGAGATATACAAATTTCAAAAAAATCTGTTTTGACCGGAAATTCATTCAAGCAAGTGTAGAATACCTATCCTATAAATTTCAGACAATTTTTGCTATAAACTTGTATTTTTTTAAAATTTATATGAAAAATCGATATAAATTGAAAATACTTCAAAACTTCTATGCAAAATTCTCTAAAATCCATAATGTGGATACTTTATAGATGTTAAGATACATTTCCAGTCAAATCAAAGATTTTTTAACTTAAAATTTGCCCCAAAAATCTGATTTAAAATTTAGAGATTCCGAACCCAATGAATTCGATACCCCAATACGACATATACAATGTAAATTTAATATTCCCATATTATGTATATTACCTATGAATTATAAACTTCATATTACATTTCAATGCCTAACTATTGTTTTTATTAACTTATTACTTTATGAGATATAGTGCATATCTTATTAATATATTATCATAGACCTGCACAGGTACCATTTGCATGGACCGACCCGGGTTTTATATGCCTAGGTCTGCCCGGATTTTTTAAAAATATTTTCAATATTATATTAATTTTTATAGATAATAATGGCGATTTAAAATATACGACTCGGTCCAGGTATTTTTTAAAAAAAATTAGGCCCGACCCAAATATATTTAAAAAAATTAAAATACGATCCGGCCAGTGTACCCAAGACTATTTGTGATATATTACTATTTTCATCAGCATTTCTAATTCCCCGTCATTGTGATGAGGGGATTTTTATATTAAATCTTTAAAAAAAATGGGGAAGGATATTTCAAATTTCACAGTTATAAAGTTGCCGATAAAAAGTAATATGATTTGATAATTACTATAATATTTAAAAAAATTATTTGATAAGGTATATTAGATTTTTTTTAAACAAAATGGTTACCTTCTTTCCAATATTTCTGGATCAGTGATCCTAGTATTTGTCATATGAGTGTGGACAGCACTTCGACCATCAAAACTTGGCCCAGCCCCAGACCCACCTGCTATAGTTTCATAATATACGCAATCCCCATCACCGAACGTCACGTTGTTCATGCAGCCCTTCAAAAAAAAATTACAAATAAATTTTTTAAAATAAATTCGGGACCTTTAAAAAGTTGTAATTGGTTAGGTAATTATTAAATAAATTGATTTCATTTTTTCGATTCTAGCAACTAGTCTTTAAGGTAAATTTATTCATATTTATCGCCATATTAGTGATAATAAATATTTCTGTACTACCCCTGGGAATTTTTTTTTTCATAGAGCCTATGAGAGTTATTTAACGATAACGTGTTAGCCGTAAAATAGAGAATAAATAAATTTTATTGTGTAGGAAGAGGATAAATCAAATTTAAGCCAGTTATATTATTAAAATAATTGAGTATGCACAATGGAGTTGCGAGTTTTTTTTATAAAACTTGAAGAGGAAAGTCAACAAATATGTAAATTCTATCTAAAATCAGCTATAAAAAAAGAAATTCATTTGCAAAAAAATTGAAATTTTTACAACAACACCCCCCCCCCCTCTCCCACCGGGTCTACCTTGATTTAGTAATTTTTATTGCAGTAAATGATAAAAAGTCTAATAAATGATTAATTGAGAATATTGCATGTATAATTAACAATCAATTAACAAAATTCGAAATCAGTCATCAGCTTATGTGAGTATTTAACAAAAAATTTGTTTTGAATGATGACTATCACAGATAGAACTATTAAAAAACAATTCAACCGCCATTATTGATCGTAAAAAATTTAAAACTTGAGAAGCTGCACAAGTATTAAAAGCTTTGAATATAACATCCACTATTCTTTGAGACGTTTGAACATTGCCACCTACCACGGCTGCATCTTCAGATGGATCCAATATGCTTCCTTTGGGAATAATTATATCTACAGGGTCTAAACATCCCTGAACACAAATTTATTTTTATTAAAAATTTTTAAGTAGAATAATTTAAATTTTAAATTAAACTATTTTACAGTTTATTAATTTGTTTTGTGTCAAAATTATGCCTTTAAAATTATAAATTATATTTTAAATTAATGTACTTAAAAACTTTTACTGAAGCTTCTTTAAACAACTGAAATTGTTTAATCTTTTCCAAATTATCCTAAATAATTTGCTTAAAAGAAACACTCTATTTAGGTTTTTACTAACGCAAAGTATAGAGATCGGACACAAACGATGCCTACTTCGGAAATTTGCCCTGTTTTACTAAATATAATTTTTAGTCCCCCCTTCCCCTCTCCCCCAAAAATATAAAATACATTACTATAAACAATAATTTTAAAGAAAAATAAAAGTCAATAATTTTATAAAATAAGGATTATAATTCAAAATTTCTCAGAAAAAAAAGCATTTAAAAATTTTTTTTAAAAAAGTGAAAAACAAACATATTTTTAAAAATAAATGCACAACCATAGGCCTGCAATAAATAAACCTAAAAACTTCCAATAAAATTTATGGGGACCGCCCTCCCCATCTTAATAGTGTCCCCCTCTAGAAGAGTCCTGGCTATGCCTATGTAGGGTATTCCAATCGCAATAAAAATGTTTCCGCTAATTTGGCATTGAAGAACAATATAATAACTTGATTCATGGGTATATCGTGGCCTATCATGCATCTTAAACAGTAGATAAGGGCTGAAAGTGTTATAGCTTTGGGGGTGTTGCAGTTTCCCATCACTTGATACCCTGTTCCTGTAAAATCAAAAATCGCGCTGCCCTGAGTTATTTATTTTGATTAAGGTAGGAATACTAATTTATGATATAACAGTGTTTTAAGTTTTAACAATCGCATAAAAGGATGATTTTTTAATAAAATATATACATATTGTAAAAATGACAAAGATGAATGAATCCGAAAACGATGATTAAATAATTGAAGTATATAATAAGCATGTTAGTTTAAAAAAAATCAACAGCTCATTTGAAAAGTTTATATATAGTATATAAGGGTTGGTTTATAGGATTAAAAATAGTTTTCGGAGATTTATTAGGTTAATAAAAAAAAGGCCATTTTAATTGATAATTATACTAAAGTATGAGATGGAAATATTTCGAATTTTATACTTTATCGGTGTCTATATAAACATTCAAATTTATTAAGGTTCCATTATCCATATAATCGGAGGCCGAAAGTTTGACGATCTTATCAGATCTACCACTGTCAAAATTTTTTGGTTCATTTTTATCTTTTTCGTGCTGAAATCTTCTCAGCATATCCCTAACACTCTGAGCGGCATTAATCCTTATGTGATTCATGTATCTCAAAACTTCCTTTAATCCGTATTCTTGAATCAAATCTTCTACTAGTTGTATACCCTTTCAAATTGTGTAATATAAGTTGTAATATTATATTGTGAAACAATGAAATAATCTCTAATAAAGGAAAATTAGTATATAAGAAAAGGTAATTGAATCAGACGATCATATTAATATTTGACTTTAAATATTCATATTTTGGAATTTTCAACAATTATGTATAACCATAATCATACTTTCTGGCAAGCAGCAATTTGAGCTTTCAAATCGGCAATATTGTCATGAATCCTTCTAGCGCCCGAACTTCCGGATATTTTTCCCGGTTTCATGAATTCTTCTATAACCTCTATTTAAAAAAAATTTAAAAGCTACTGTGAAATAAATATAGCCTGGAAATTTTTATTTATTGCTAAATTATATTATATGTACGATATATATTTTATTGAAGAAAAAATAAAGAAATATAGAAAAGTAAAAAATATAAATAGTGTTGTTTTATGTGAATTAAAAACTCGGCTAATAATTTATAAAATATAAAAATAAATAAAAAAATATAGTTATTTACAAAAGATTCAAATAAATATATTCTATGAATAATTAATATTTGTATATATATTTATATACATATAAAAAAAACATTTTAAAAAAATAAATAAATATAGTATTGGAGGATATGTTTGTGACGGTGTTAAAAAAAATATATATTGAAGTTAGGAAGGATAATCTTGTGGGGAGAGACTGCTTATGAAGCTAATATAATTAGCCTTGTGTATTGCGATGGAGAGCCTTTGCCTTAAGAAGAATCCCTCGCAGGGTTCACCGGTTAGTTGACGAATGTGGGAGCCGAGTTCCTTGAAAAAGGATAAGGCATATTTCCCAAAAGTAGTAAGGGTAGTGGAAATAATGGGGATGAAAATATATTCTTGAGAGATTTCGGAATATTTTGCAATTTTGAGTGTCTCCTTTTTCTCGAGTATATTGACTGTTTGATTTGATGGAGCGAGTGGATCAATACAAGAATAGTCCCAGACCAGGAATTGACTGCGCTTCCAAGGAATTTGCGAAATACCGTCAGGCCGTTTCCCATCAGATCTGAAAAGACCGGATGGTTCAAGAGTGGAGGGGATTTGAGCAGATCTAAGAGCTCTAAGAATAATCGAATTGCATAGATTATGTCTTACAATTCGTCCTTTACATGAGCGACAATGAAGACTATGTCTTCCATTGCCCAAAACTGCGGAGCCGCAACCTGAACATATGTGGGGTTGGGTAATAAGGCAATTTAAACGGATACCGATTGCATGTGTGAGCTCGTTTTTATTTAGTTGTAATTGCAGATTAATAGACGGAATGGCCTCGAGAAACTCATGGCCTGAACCATTAAGCAAAGAAGAGAATAAGGGACGGTCAGATAATTGCATTCTGGAAAGGAGTGATTCAACGCAGAGTGCAATAATAGGCCTATCCCAGTCCTTCTGCTTATTAGATTCAGGAAGAGGGTGATCAGCAGAAATTCGTGTCCTCCATTCGATGATTGCATCATTAAAAGAAGAGTCGGGTTTTAAAGAATTGGGATTTATTATGTTTTTAGTTAGTAGGCAACTGGATATAAAGGCCGTTAAGGCGAGATCTGATGGAGATCTGAGGCCCAGACCTCCCATCTTTGTGGGTAAAGAAGCTTGTGTCAAAGAAATTTCATCGAATTTAAGATTTAGAATGTTTTCGATAAGGATTTTGATCCCATTATCATAAACTCCAAGTGGAATGGGGAATTTAAATATGGCAGTTGAGCGAAGTGCGTAAAGAATACGGGGAATATTGAAAAAATTTTTCACCAGGAAAAAGGCTTTATGAGAAGGAAGAAGGGAAAATAAATCTGCCAGCTCTAATAAAGAATCCAAAGTGGACTGAAGAAAGAAAGAAATAGCAGAGTTACCACCAACAGGAGCTCCAAGATGATAGAGACCGTCAAGAGTCGTTAATTTGAATTTGTTAGTATTAGGTTCGATTGTATTGATAGGGATAAATTCTGATTTCTCTGGATTAATGGAGAGTCCTATAGCTGATCCGGCCTCCTTGATGATGTTCACAGCTTTATTGACTTCAACATTGGAACCTCCAAGGATACCATCATCAATGTACCAGGAATGCAAGGATAATGAGCAGACCGAATTAATGGATTTAATGATGTCATTAATACCTAAACAAAAGAATAGGGAACCTAGGGGGTCTCCCTGCTGAATGCCCTCGACGGAAGGGATTTTAAAGGTATCAAACAGAAGAGTGGAGGGCTGTTGACAACAAGAATAAAAAAACTTAGTGTAACTGGGAAAGATTACTTGAGGAACTCAAAAAGGAGTTCTGGGAGAGTGTGTTGTAAGCATTAGAGAAGTCAATTTTTATCAAGGATTCATTAGAAGGTAAATTTTCAAGATATAATCTGGACAAATGTACAACAGCTTCACAACCACCAGGGATTCCTACACCAAGTTGGAAGGGACTTAGGAGACGTGAAGCATCATGCTTAATTCGGGATGATATCATCTTGGCTACTAATCGGCGAAAGGTAGAACCAATGGCAATGGGTCTGATATCATTATTAGGTTTTTGAAGTGCAATTAGCCTGGCACCAAAGAGGATAGATGAAACGAAATTTGGAACCTCACCGTTTAAAAGTATTATATATTTTTTTTTATCAAATGATAGAAAATAAATGAATATAAGAGATTACACTAAATAAAAATTATGCTTATCATTTTTAAATGACCATCTTTCGATATTATGACTTACAAATTAAAGAATGAAAGATAACAACAATTAGAAGAAAAAAAAATTGGAAGTAAAACGAAACAATATTTAATATAAATAAAGAAACATTTCTATATTTAGATCAGAATTTCGACAAATAATCAAAAAAATATATAATTTATAAACCTTTTTCTCTGAAAAGTCCCTTTTGGACAATTTTAAAAGATTTGAAAGTGGCACCTTCCTCCGATAATTTTGTTGAATGAGCCGGCATTGATCCTGGTAATATTCCCCCTATATCCGCGTGGTGACCGCGGGATGCCACCCAAAATAGCGCGTTTTCGCTTCCAAAGTGTGTTTCGGAGATTTTGAAATACTTTTATACATTTGTTAAAATAAGACAAAGCGTGAAAATTAAAATTAAAAATAAAGGGCTTCCCTATTTTGCAATTTAAGAGAATAAATCAATAATTTTTAAATGTTGGATATTCAATCTGTATAAAACAAACGTATTTATTATAATATTCTGGATAATCATTATATATTCTTGGCGAAATTTAAGTTATAATAATTTTTTTAATAAGTTTGGTAAAATAAATACAATGCTATTATAGAAGCAATTGTGTTATAATAATCATAAATATGGGTCTAATTATAAATTAAAGAGTTAATGGTATATACATAGGGGAGACCAAGGCTAGTCTGCGCAATTTTTGTCAAAATCATCACAGATCCTAAAATAATTATTGTATTTATAAGATGCCACAAGATAGCCTAAACACTTGCCTAAATACACTGATAAATTTTTTAAATAATAAATATTTTTTTCAGGATTGATTCTAGTAAAATAATATTTTTGCCCCAACAAGTCCCAAACCAGGAGCTTGTAAATTCTTGGTTTATTAAGCCTGCTATAGAATAATTAATATTACTATTCCATTATTTTCATGGACAATGTTTTATTGATATAATATTCCATTTGTACATAAATGATTGATTTTAAAATGACAATTTATGGCAATATATGAATTTTAAAATGTGTAAAATTTTTAATAATTTTTAATTCTATTGTATATAGAATTGATTCAAATCTACAATAATAGCCAATGAATACTTATTTTATTTTATATTATTACATAAATATATTTATGATATATCATATTTTTAAACATAGTTTGATTGATCCGACTATCCCTGATTCTACTAGCCCCTAGTTACTGATATGATGAATACCTTTCTAAAAATATATTTAAACATGATAGGGTTTTAAATATCATATAATGTCAATTTTACAACCTCTAAATATATTCAGTAATAAAATTTTTTTACCGGTTTTATAACTGTAAGATCTGGTAAATGGCTGCCACCTGCACAAGGATGGTTTGTTAATATAACGTCACCATTTTTCAAATCTTTGCCTATGGTTTCAATCTTTAAGAACATTTATTAAGATAATTCAAATTCTTCCAAGGATTATAAAAAGGAAACTGCATAATTCATAATGGGGATTTGTATATTCTTTTTAATATAAGAAAACTGAACGTAATTCTGTGAAAAAAATAGCATAATCAATGTCAATTTTTTAAAATAATAAAAAATATTTGCATTCCAAAACATTCTAAGATATGAAACTTCTACCCACCCCAGATATCTATATAAAAAATTTTAGTACAAGTGTTAGAGCCTTGATTTAAATTTTATAACAAAATTAGGGGAATTTCGATAAGCTTTTCAGGCCTGAAATAATTATACTATTAGAAATCAAAGTAACAAATTCAGAAAAATATTAATAAAAAAAATTAATAGGAGCAGAAAAAAAATATTATAACCTAACGAACCCTAAGAGTCTCAGACTAATGTCAAAAATAGAGAGAAAAAAATATTTCTTATCCTCATTGTTTTCAAAAACCCATCCATTTATTTATCTTTCTTTCTGAATATAATTGAATAATTATATGATAATATGCACATAAAACCCAATACACAAAATAAGACCTCACCCCTAATTTGTGATTTGATTTGCTAAAGAAATTTAATAGAAGGATGGTTAGATAAATAACTTACGCGTATTTATTTATTCTTAAAATCGAATTAAATATTTCCCCTTCTACTTCACTTCTCCTTACTTCTTTCATATCCATTTTAAAAAAATATATCACTTGATATTTAACAGCTTGCTGCATAGATCCCAGGTGTACAGGTATATGGGGTGCGTTGGCTATGAGCCCACCATCGGGAGCGAAAACAGCACAAGAAAAATCGAGCCTTTCCTTGATATTAGTTGATAAAGCAGTTAATTTCAACATTCTCCCCATTCTTTCAGCTATGGACATAAAACGATGACAAAATAGCGAAAGCTTTATAGGATCCACTGCTTGAATGTAATAATATAAAAAAACATAAAATTAAACTACTCCCAACAGTTCTTTTCAAAATACATTGGAATATAATAGTATAATTCTTTATTTTTTCAAACCTTGATTTAAAATATATATAATATTCCATGAAATTAAAATTAATCAAACAATATAATATGCAATAACAATATCTAAAAAAAACCCAAATTAGTTGATTCAGATGTTTTAAATAGGGATTTTTTTTCTTTCCCATTGCTGATATTACTAAAATTTGTTGATTCGTTAGTTACAGTGATGAGTAGATTTCCTCTGCATGTGATTTTGCATTCGTATCCTGGTTCAATAAGTATGGTTCTAAAAGATATTTTGAGTTTTATGAGTATTTATATGTTAGGGTAAGATTTTATAAATTATACAAATTGGTTTAATTATTTTACCATTGGATAAAATTTATTTTTGGTTAATTAGTCCATTTTTAACATACTTATATTAAAAATTATTGTGCCTATTAAAATTTACCCGTAAATAAAGAATTTTAAAAAAATTTATATATTTAATTTTCCGCATGAAAAGTACGAGAATTTGGTTATCAATACTAAATATTTCCAATATAAAAACTAATATGTTCAAATCACCTATACCTAGCTTTAACTTAAAGAATGAGGCTATTTTTTTAGGCTCATAACTTAGCTAAGCAGTTTAAGATGGCTAAAGATAGATAATTTAACAGCAACATAATGAAAAAAATTGCTTAAGGTTACAAATAAATCAATCCATGTTATTAGCACTTTCAAAAAAAATGAATCAAGACACCTGAGTGATGGACTTATTTAAAAAAATAGATAATATACCCATTCAATGATATAACTATAGCGGGCCCATTTATTAGAAACCCATAAGGCAATTTATCTTGTAGATAGACTTTCGTATCTAAGGCTGTTATATTTTTGGGATCTTTCGGATCTACTTGGAAATAACATTTCACGACCTTTGAAAACATTCATAATTACTTTATAATAAATAATCTCAATTATTATACAGCATTTTGCCTAGTATAAGTATATATATCGTTTCAACCTTATAATTTCAATTTGTAAGTTTGTTATAAATCTATACGATGTAAAATGTTATATATTATTATATATCAACTAAATGCGAAATCTAATCCTGCGCATTTATTGATTTACAATTAAAACTCATTGGGAGGATTTATTTTCACAAATCCAGTCCAGCAACTCAAATAATAATAAGTCTTGAGGTTAGATTTTTTATTACTCTAGTTGGACAGGGCCGTTAAGATCGACCGTTAATCAACAACACTATAGCGAGCAAGTTATTTACTTAGTATTGATTTCCTACCCACAAAGTCTTGTCTTGATTTAAAAATCTTAATATATATACTATTTTCTTAAGTTAAGAATCTTCCCATGTATATTAATATATTAATAACAATAATGCCAATTATTTACAATTTCTTCCTTGGGATCAGGGCTTGTTGATGTTGAGTTAGAATCTTTCGAATCCTCTATCACTTTGAGTTCTTCGTCGTGTATCAAAGATTTACCTATGCACCTTACCCTTATATTATCCACTACAATGTCCCGCCCGGGTAAAATAAAGCCGAACTCTCGTTGGTATCTTTTTTAAAAATTTACATATTAGTATTACAGTTTTACATACCAGATTTCAGGAAAACTAAATTATTTTTGGTTTAAACTAATTTCATATTAAATCATAAAGGTAGATTGTTTAATTTATTTTTTTCTTTTAAAATTTAAATTCCCTTAGTTATTTATTCCGTACAGAATATAACTAAGATAAACATATTGTTTTTATAGTGGCTCTGTGGTGTTTGCTTATGATCAATTGAAATTATATTAATACTTCTTTAGGAATTCCTCTTTGTATCTGAAGATGTCGTCATCCGTAATGTCTTCGTGGCAATTTAATTCCTCTACTTGACACATGATTGGACAATGGGTTCCTTCGTAACCCATTTGTATATACCTAATTATTTCAATTTTTATTTTTTCATCTTTCTCGCCATTATCCTCATTATTTCCATGGTTGATTATTCGGTTTGATAAGTAAGGATTTTGATCTATCAATATCTTGCGACATTTGGATTCTAATGAGCTTAAACTATCACAAAAAATTTTGAAATTAACGGGTAAAAATTTTGTGGAAAGAGATTCTTGTTCTTCGTGAACTACATTAGCTAAAGACATACCGTAAGCTGATAATATGCCAGAATATCTTATGTGTATAAAATAAATATTAAAAAATATTGAAATAAATTAAATTTGAATATATGGGAATGATCACGATTTATAAAGGCAAAAGAAAAATATGCACGCCCTTTATTTAATTTTTTTTCCTCTTTATTCCTTGTTCATATAAGAGAGAACGAAGTAATACAACTGAAGGGGGTTAACGCGAATAACTCTTTTTAACCCATGAGCATAAAAACCTTTAATTTGATGTGAAGATGTATTTTTGTACTTCTTACCTATGTTCATCTTTTAAAAAATTTTAGCCAAGAAACCGTTTTTAAAAATTATCCTTTAGTTTATTTTACTTTTAGCAAAATATATCAAAGCTCATAATTTAAAAAGTTTGCATACATGTTCCTTAAAGTTATAGATATATAATGTAATTTATCTGAATTTATAGTTTAACTAAAAGTCAAGCAATAACGATTTATATAATATATATCCTCTTGGGGTAAAGTTGTTATGGGTAAAACGATTAAAATGTTCCGCCTGATTATATCTGCAAAAGGATTTTAATATTAACGTTTACGACATATAAAAAGATATTTTTTAACAAAAAGGTACACGAATGTACGATATGTAAAATTATGAGAACACTCAAAATGCGGTTTGACTAAACTGCCAATTCCTAGGTAAACTGCAAATGCTTAGGTAAAAATGTTTTATATATACTCTATTAATAGATATGAGATTAATTTTCTTAAGATATAAACAAATTATAAAAATTAAATTACTACATATATTCAATAATATAATATAAATCAGTGATGTGAACCCTGACCCTTAACCCTCGTATTATGGCTGTACCCGACCTGGAGCCTTTTTAAAAGTGGAGTTAAGGGTTCTAGGTGTCAAAAAAATTATTTTAGAATAATATTTAATATTTTTTTAAATAATATTTAATATTATAAATTTTTTTTATTTTATTAACTTTTTTTCGTGGAATCATTTTTTTCATCTTCGCATTTTTCTTTCAATTTCCTTCCTGGACTTTCATTTTATTTAGATATACTAGTGTAGGTAATAATATTTTATTATGTAAATTTAGTGCAGGTAATAATATTATTTTAAATGATAATTTATTAATATGCTCTTATAATAGAAATACTTTGATTATTTTGAATTGAAAATCAAATTGTGATTTATTTTGTAGTGCAAGTAATAATATTTTAATTTTAAAGGATATTTATTAATAAGCTTTATAATAGAAATACTTTGCTTACTTGTTTTATAACAATTTTATTAAGTGATTATTTTGTAGTGTAAATAATATATTTTATTATAAACAATAGGCTAAATTTTTTGGGCAGTAAATTTAAATTAATCAAAATTGTGTTTTGCAAAAATATCTTATTATAAGTTATCAATTATATTCTAATTATCAAATATATTCTTCTAATACTCAAATCAAAAATTAGTTATTTTATTTTTAAATTGCAAATCTAAGTATTTTTAAAAAAAATTATTTAACAAACTTGTTGGTTAACTATAAATTTTGTTTATTTATTTTTTAGTATGATAAAAGATAAGATATTTTGTTAGAATATTATAATGCAACTAAAAAGGATTCTGAGTGCAAAACCTGCCACATAATAATAAAAGGTTCGCACAACGAAAAACATTAAGAATACCTCATTCTATAATATTTGAGGAATAATTATAATTATATTTCATTTAAAAAAATAATGTTTAAAATCTTATAATGTAATTATATTTAAAAAAAATAAAATATATAATTCAATAATATTCAATTCGCCAAGCGATAATATTATAGTGACGAGATAAATTCCTGGGAATTCAAATTTTAAAACCACTCTCTCCCCTTATGTGAAAATTTTTGGTTATAGCCATGATTATCCATTTCTTGAAGTAAATTTAAATAACTCATTCTTAAAAATATAATATTCGCATTCCGAGAACTATATTTATTTTACTAATAATTTTTATATGATAGTTTATATAAACTTGTGTATGAAAATTTTATTGATTCCTAATAATCTGGCTAAGGAACATGCGTGTTGACCTGCTGCAGACCCGAAGCACGCTAATATGTGTTTTGAAGTCTCGTATCCTTTTGCCTTGATTTAAAACAGAAATAAAATTATAATCTATTCATTTTGTTTATATTATTATAACGCGTTTGGTTTATAAACGACTAGCATATTTTTTATAAGAGGTTTTAGTTTTTATGTAGTCAAAATATAATAAAATTAAAAAAATAATGGTGACTCATCATATAAGAAAAGCTTTGAAAAAAAAGAGGGCAATATAGATAAGAGTTATATGGTTGATTTTGTCTTTTTTTCTTAATACTCCTCAAGATCTAGAGACTAGTCATATTTCGAAATTTTGTTTTTAATAATATATACTTGAGTTATATTCAAGATAGTTCTGCTCATCGTTTCATTAGCCACGGTAATGAAACCCATTGCCAATTGCTCTCGTGTCATTGCTAACGCATCAGCACCATTTAAGTCAGCGTAATATGTATTGACCTTATAAAAATATTTGAGTTTGATAGATATGCCCGTAATAAGTTTGTATTATGTCATATATTATTTTACATCTTGGGGGCTTAACCCAAAAATTAAAAACTTTCTAGTTATAACATATGATTATAACTTATTTATAACACCATTAATATTACAGAGAAATTTTTTTATGTCAAGTAGATTTGAACGCCGGATATTTTAAATAACTTTAAATAACTAAATTAAGTTTAATATTATAGGTGTATAATGAAATGAGGTATAAATGATAGAAATTATTTTTATTTATAACTTTGGGATATTATGTTAATAAACAAATCAAAAAATATATACATTGATCTTTGTTAACTCTCTGCGAAAAAAAAAATCTAAAAAGTAAAACTATTTTGGTTAATTTATCGAATTCCGACGCGGTTCCATCTAAATCAATTTCTTGATTGCAATCGGGGCCAAAGACCTTAGGGAAGTATTGGGGTAACAAACGGTTTAAGCATAAATTCGCATCCGTAACGCATAGTGGCCCATCTTCAAATATATATTATATTAAGTTTATTATATTGGTTATATTATTATGGTAAGCCATATAGATTATTGTTAATGTGGTTGACATTTTGTATCCTAAAGACATTTTGATTTAACGTGATTTTTTATTATTTTAAAATTACCTTTAAAATATTCTTTAACTTTATCGATTGATTTTTTATTATTTCTTTTTTTTTATTAACATTGTATTTTTAAAATATAATCTATTATCTCAAATTTAACTTTAATATTTTTTTTTAAATTTATTTTGATGATTGAATCAAGTTGAAATTTTTTAATATTTAAAGAAAAAATAATTCAATATCAGGATTAAAAAAAATGTAACGCATAAATTTAAAATATTATTTTTCTAACTTCTTGTTTATATTATTAGTTTAGTTTATTTCGTTGTTTTATCCAATACCAGATAAATCTTTACTTTCATAAATTATAAACAGTATATTATCAATAAACTTCTCTTCACTAAAGAGTATAAACATTGCATAAATGAGTTTTTTTGTCATAAAATTCAATTTATTGAAACATAATTGTAAAGTTTGGATGATATATACCCACCTTTTTTCAAAACATATATATTTTTTTTTATAGTATCCATTTTAATATATATTTTTTAATCCTTTGTAAATTATATAATTTATTTTATAATATTTTTTTTAAAAATAATAAAAAAGTCGAATATCAAAAAAAAAAAAAGTCTAAAGTTATATAAAACTTTATAACTTAAACCTCAAAAAAATGAAATATCGAAATAGATATTTGTAAAAGTTTATGAGAAAAATACAGATGAATATGAATAGAACTAGTGAAATTTAAAAAATAAAAAATTCAGATCAAAGTGATAGTAAATGTCTTAAAAATAAAATATACGAATCTCTCTTCACCAACTTGTTTAAGATTAGGATAGTAATATTAAAAATATATTTGTAAAATTTTATGAGAAAAATACAGATGAATATGAATAGAACTAGTGAAATTTAAAAAATAAAAAATTCAGATCAAAGTGATAGTAAATGTCTTAAAAATAAAATATACGATTCTCTCTTCACCATCTTGTTTAAGATTAGGATAGTAATATTAAAAATAATTTTCTCAAATTAGAAACAACTTTATGAAAAAATAAATTCAAAATGAATGTTGCCATTTTTAAATTAGACATTTATTATTTGTATCAAAAATGTAGTGTTGTAAACATTTTAAAAAAAATCGAACGCGTTCGCGTTCAACGTTCATTGACAAAAATCGAACGCGTTCACGTTCACCTTCAAATTCAAAAAAAGGAACGCGTTCAAGTTCATGAACGCGTTCATGCGTTCAAAATTTTATGATAAATTTTTTTTTAAATTTAATTTAATATATATAAATGCCTTATATTTTTCAACACAATATATTAGCCATGATAAAAAAATAATAGTTTTATTTTGATAATATAATTATAAATACAATATAATAGAGCGATAAAAAAATAAATTTATAAATTTTTTTTCTTAAATACTAATATTAAAATGCCTTATTATAATTAACTATTTATATATATTATGTAATTATGTAATTATTTTTACTTAGAACAATTAAAATAAATTATTAACTGGCTATATAGTTATACATATTATATAATATAAAATAATTAATGTTACAATCAGATGTCTTTTTAAATTGGAGCTTGAAGATGTTGACACTGATATAATACTTTTTGGACACATTTTACATTTGGTAACTATTGAATTACCTTTTAATTTTAAAACAGTGAAATATTTTTGATATTTGGGCCATGGTAATTCTAATTCATCTAATATTGAATTTTGATTTTCAGAATCTGATGATGAAATATTTATATCCATGCAAATGCTAATCTATTAAATTAAAATATAAAATATTCAAATTAATAAACTTTAATCTTATCTTCTCTAGCAGTAGCACGTTATGGTACGTTAATTGCAATATGAACGAGGAAAAAGTAAAAACAGCTGATTAAAAAATATAAGACTTTTTTGTTAAAAAATTGGATTAAATATTAATTTTTCAAATAAATAAAAATATAAGACTTTTTTGTTAAAAAATGCGGATTAATATTAATTTTTCAAATAAATAAAAATAAAAAGTGTTTTTAAAATTGAACGAACGTAAAATTGAACGCGTTCATCAAAGAAAAGGAACGCGTTCATCAAAGAAAAGGAACGCGTTCACGTTCAAAGTTCGTCAAAAAAAAAGGAACGCCGTTCATCACCTTTTTTCAAAAAAACTAACTTCGTTCACGAACGCGTTCATTTTGAACGCGTTCGTTTACAACACTACAAAAATGCCATTATTTGTTAATCTTTAGAACAATTATAATTATTTTCAAAAGTAAGCTAATGGGTATAAGTCTAGTGTTTTAGTGATCTAGAAGCTTTAAATGTATAGATTTTATAGAATCTTTACTATTATATAAAATCCTTTGCCTTTAATCTATGTTTGAAAGGAATTTTTAAAAATGATAGACAGCACATTATTATCACAAATATTTACTTTTTCTATAACATTTAGGTCCAGGTTCAGAGCCAGAACTCTCCGGCCCTACTACAAACAATCCTTTCCTGAACAATAAACATGAACCTCCACCCGCAGCAACCGTTTGAATATCTAACTTTATAAATATGATATTATATATATATTAGTTAAACCCTATAGACCATAGGCGAAGGGGGAGGGGGCAAGAGAAACTAACCTCCATTTGCATGTTCTCGTAAATATCATTTTAAGTTAATAAAAATCCCCCCCCCTCCTATGCACCCCTACCCCCCCCATCCCCCTAGTATACAAAACTATAAAGAAGAATTTGAAAGAAAAATTAATTATTGAAAGGTAATAACTTTTTATAATAACGACTATAATTAAAAATTTTTGGAAAATAAAAAATTTTTATTTTAAAAAAAGTGAAAAACCAAAGATTATTTTTATAAAAATCGAATATTGCCAAAGGCCTTCAATAAGTGGACGTAAAGGCCTCCAATAAAATTAATGGGTAGGGAAGGGGCTAACCTAGTAGTGCCCCCACTCCCTTATCAAAATCCTTACTACGCTTATGCTATAGACCATGCAAAACTTTAATTAAATCACCGAGCGCTCACGATTTGTTCAAAAGATTTTCAAGCAATTCTAATAAAAAAAAAATTTGATTTGTTTAAGAAAGCGAAGGGGGGGGGGGTAAATGAATAATATTTCATTTCTTGTTCATTTAATTTATAATACGTAATGGGAGTTGATATAAATGTCAAAACTTGAGGACATTGCATCACGATTCCAGCTACGATTGAGTCGTATACATGTTCATAATTCCCATCAAAACGACTCACATCGGTCGAAGTTCCTTAGTATAAAATTAAAGATTTTTTTATATATTTTAACTAACAATCTAAATAAATTTAGTTATAAGATTTTTTTTTAAATAAAAATAAACCTCAACTGATCATAATATAAAAGTGAGTTAGAATTAGTGATCTGCATCGGGCCTAATTTTTAAAACCAATTTTTTCAAAAATATGTGTCCTGCCCACCCCCTTGTTCCCGAACAAAATTTCTTTTATTTGTCCCGAAAAGCCCGGCCTAATATAAATTAAAATTATTTGTCTGCCTGACTCAGCCCGAATTTATTTAAATATAAAAAAAATTAAATTTTTTTTTAAATTTAAAACAATATTCTACAAACAAAAAATACTAGCGCCTTGTTTCTTGGTAGAATTTTAAAATATATCAATTTATTTGACAAAATGTAATATCATATTTAAAATCTTAGGTCCAACCCGGTTTGGCCAGAAATTATTTTTAAAATATTAGGCCCGACCCAGCCCGAACCGAAATTATTTTTTAAAATGGACCTCCGGGCCGGATACGGGCTGGGCCGTGATTTCCATATCTCTAATTTGAAAATTATTTCTATTATTTTTCCTTTTTTAGCCAAAAAAAAAGACAATTTAATATTAAGTACAAATTATATATTTAATTGCCTACGAAATGTAAATCAGCTTTAAGCCTCGTTAGCTAATAAATTTCAAAAATTCGTTTATAACATCAATTTTAATTTATTAATATTATTCTTATTTTTAACCTATTCATGATAATAATCTAAGAATTAAAAGAAAAATTGACCTCATTAAAAGAATTTTTAAATCGCTCAGCTGTTAAATAGTGTCGGATCAGATTCTACTATGAATCCAGCCTTAGGTAGGCATCTTCTTAATTACAATGCAAACATACACAATTTATTAGATCGTCGAAATATAAACATATTTTTAATTAATTTTTTTATTTTAAAAAATTATATATGGGTTTGATTTAAAAATATTCACCATATTCAGTATTTATTGGACTTTTGAAAATATGTATTTATTGCAATATAATTGTGTAATATTTGCTTATTTCTTTATTCGGAGGATAATTTATTTAGTTATTAATAACCTCCCATATCAAATCCTATGACCGGCATGTTTTTTTGACCAGTCTCCACTTCGTTATTGTATGTTGTTATGGAATACCCGACTACTCCCCCCGCGGGCCCAGATAAAATTGATTTTGATCCTATAAATCTTTTATTTAGTAATTATTTGAAAAGAGTATTTTAAAAAAAAAATTTTATTAATAAATGTTAGTTTATTTTTATAAAGGAATGGTGAAAAATTATAAATTGAATCTTAGCCTTGAATAATCTACCTCAATTTTAATATCTTTAATAATAAGAAAAATTTACTTGCTCATTTATTATAACATTAATAATTTATAAATATTATATTTTGGATTTCTGTAATTTTGTCAAAAGCTAACAAAAATGAGGCATTGAATTCTGATTAAATTACAAGTAAATATCACCAAGACAAAATAAAACATCTAGTCATTCACTAACATTTATGTGCAAATTTATACTTCCCCAAAAATATATAAGGGCAGATCATTAGTGTAGCCAGATGGGTCAGGGATGGGAACAGAAATTTATCCCATAATAAATTTACTCGTATTTATCACTTTAAGCTAATAAAAATTTCTCCTACCACATTTCCTCAGTCACCCCCCCCCCTCCTTCCTCAAAAAGGAGTAGTATCTATTATTATAAACAAAATTTTCAAAAAAATAAGTAAAAGTTAACAATTTCGTAAAATAATGACTAGAATTCAAATTTTTGAGAGAAAAAAAATGTAAGCCCAAAATTATTACTATTTTTAAGTAGAATTCACCAAAGATTATTAAATATGGGGTTTTAAATATCCAATAAAAATTCTAAATATGCCTATGGAGCATTTGTTTAAAAATGAACAAAAAAAAATGTTATATTGGGCTAATGAAAATAAATAGAAAGCTACTTAAAGTGGAGAATTCAAAGTATATTCTATGTAATTTTATTTTCCTAATAGTAAATTTGATAAATTCGCTTGTAAATAACTAAAGTTACCGTCAACTTTCTTTAGGAAGGAATAGGAGACTACGTGGTCCTAAAACTCGGTTCATCATATTATCATATATAATAAAATTTAACTCTTCCTTGACAACTAAGCCACCGTCAGATTGCATGAAATGTATGAGGGGCCCTGAATATTTTTCGATTCCATTGTCCCACTTGATTAAATCTTCGATACTGGCCACAAAATTAGAAACATAAGATTTGATGCAGGGAGTCAAGTAGGCATCTACGCAAGTTGTTTGACCTCTAGCAACAATGTTAACCATTGGCATCACCCTGGAAGATAAGGAGACGTGTATCGAATCCCCGAATTTATCTTTGATTAAGCGTTCTATCTCTTCTTCGTGGATATTCCATCTGATTTGGTTTAGTGTATAAAATTGAATGTTTACGCTTCTAAAAAGGCACAAAAAATATTCAGAACAATATTTTTAAAAAATGAACTAATTACTTATCAAAATTATATAAGGTTTAGGATCGATTAAACTCACTGAAGAATTCACATATAATATAACTAAAGAAATTCTAAAAAAAATTAGCCATTTTTAACATAAAATTTATTGGGCTCAAATATTAATTACGGATCCCATGTTTTATTTAAATATTCTAATCTTAATGTATTTTCCAACCTCCATTTTTAACATAACATCAAATTTTCAATTTAAAAAAATCTATATAAAAAATATTTGTGTGAAAAAAGTTAAAAGTGCAACATTGTTCAATAGGATGATTTAAACAAGGATAAGGAAAATGAGGATTATAGCATAGGCTAGGCTATCTTTGAAGTTTATTAACTCATTACCTTTGCCAAATAAATGCAAATCTTTGGGAATATTTAAAACAAGTGTTAAAGATACCCATATGCGTGCATCATAACAACGGCCACTGATTTGATTCCTTGGTCTGATATTACTTTTAAATCTCTCTCCACCTCTTGATGATCTACACCTTTCCAAATGATAAACTTTTAATAAAACATAAATAAAATAAAGTATGAGAGATGACGCATTTGCATCAACAATTGAATAATTTTTTTTCTTAAACACACAAATATAAGGTCTGACAAAATATTTTCAAATTAGTAGTTCAAACCAAGATGAATTTCAGTCAAAATAAATTATTTTAATTAGCCCTATCTTATATTTTAATTTAATAAAATAATATTTCTGTGTATTTATATAAAATTTTATTCATAAAGGTATAGAAAAATTATTTAAAAAGTTACAGGCGATGAGGTCTTATAAATAACCTTTTCTCCGCTTTTGGTGGTGACAAAATTCTTCTTACCTGCCTCAAACAATGTGATTGGAAGTTGACATTCGGACTGATCCAAAATCACTCGCTCATTTACTTCTATTACACTTTCATATAGGATATCGGGCATAACGATATTCTAACAATGGAAATAAAATAAAATATTTCTTTTTGACTTAAGACGTACCCTAAAAGTATCATTTTATAAAGTGCAGCTAATGAAGTTGGAGTATTTTGGGTTCAAAATAAATTTCCTATTCATTAAAAAATCTATTTAAGTTGAGAAATTTATCTAAATCAACCTAATATCTCAGATCACACATTGGCGAAGAAAAATTTATATATATTTTTTTCAAAATTAGCGATTAAAAAGGAAATTCTAAATCTAAAATTAGTAGAAAATTATATCTCGAGAGGGCTTTCACAATTTTCATAGCATTTAGTCCTCGCTCCCTATCCCCTTCAAAGTGGGTTTAAATTATTTTCTAAATTTTATTTTGTCACCAAATCGAATAGTTGTGGTCTGGCTTGATTCCCTATATATAAAACGTCCTTGAATCCTTTGGTAATTATGAGAGCCATCTTTTCGCCTTTTCTCTCCAAAAGTGCATTGGTGGCTAGAGTCGTGCCTATTCGTATCCATTCGATTTTCAGTTCCCTAATGTTATTGGATATAGAGTTTTCTCCGTAAAACTGAAAATGTGTATTTTTTTAAAACATATAATATATATTCGTTTATTGCATTCATTCATCAATTTTTTTTATTCATGTATTCATCATATATCTGAGTTTTACAAAATAAATTATTTTTCAAATAAACAAAGAATAATCGCATAAAATTATATTTGTTTATATACAAATTAAAACACAAATAGAACGAATGATGTGGTTTCTTCAACTTAAAATAAATAAAATATTCACTAAAAAAAATGTCAAGGTCAGATCTAAATAACTAACTTATGTTATCGATATTTACTGTTTAATAAACTTAATGTAATGAACTTGCAAATAAGCGTGTAAGTGATTAGGTAATTATTTTGATTCATATACTATAATATTATAGCATTATTTTTTTTTAGAATTGAAAATTATATATCTTTCTAAAATAAAATAGAAAACCAAATAAAAAGTTAAAATTAAGAATATAAAATAAATAAGTAAACAAAAATATATTCAAACTAACTTAAAATGTCAATAGAAATTATAGTTTCGAAACTTTGATTTACATATTGTAATCATTAAAGAATGCTAATGGTATTTTTTTAAATCAAATAAATTATACTATACTTCATTTATAATCCGCCTGATTCCTTCATAAGGGGCGTCATTGTAATGGTCAGGATTTTCGGATAAAAGTTTCGAAGTTTTAACGCTTCCATCAGGACATATAGCAAAAATATCGGTAAATGTCCCACCTCTGTCTATGCCGAATTTAAATTTTCCGCCGGAGCCATCGACATTTTTATTCGAAATTGTATTTGATATTTTGTCCGATTTCATGTTGTCGTTTAAAGTATGATTTAGAAGAAAAATTAACAGTATAAATTTTAATAAATATGTTTTTTACTTCTTTGATGTAAAAAAAAAATACTATAAATTTGTAAATAAATGTTTTTTTTTAGTTTCATAATTTTTATATTAGTTATATTATTAAATTAATTGAAAGTGGATATTTAAAAAAAAATATATATATATTTAAAATTAAGTTTACGGTGACAGGAAAAGAGGCTAATAAAAAAAAATATTATCAAATAATAATTTCAACAATTCATGGTCTACTTCTACTCTATAACATCATTGAATCGATTGTTAGATTTTAATAATATATAAATTTTTATTTAACCAATTTTGTTTTAAAGTTTATTTTTATGCAGAATTTGAAGAAAAATTTTGAGCAAAAATCTTATTTTTGAAGAAGAGAGATGATTTTATACCTAAAAATGACTAAATATTTTTTAAAAAAATCTTTTATAAGTAAATATTTTGTAACATACGTAAAAAATCTATCAAGATAAAATTTGAAATTTTTTTATTCCCAAACTCTGATTTCATGCCATATTCTACAAGTAAGTTTGCTAGATTTTCAAAAATCAAATAAAATTTAAGAATGACAAACTATCACATTTATAACGTTTGGTTGTGTGAAATTTTTCAAATTAGTATCAGATCTTAATTTATATAGCTAATCAATCAAAAATAACTCGTTTCGGCATATGCCACAAGTTAATTATAAATTTCAATTACAAATTTTTATATATTTATCCTATAAGTCTAAACAGTTGCCTTTAGAAATTAATTAGTGATATTGACACTTAGGCAATCATCAAATTTTTGGTTTTTAACAATTCAGCTTATAATAAATTGAATGAAATTAAGAAATCATTATTTTAATCATATTCATTAAAAATGCGCTCCGAAGCGGCAGTTGAATGGAAAAATGAAAATGCAAAATTGAATAGATTCTCTCTGGATATTTGCACATTTTTTTTGATGATAATAGGTAACGAGACCAATGAAGGATCGCACTTCGTGAACGTTTTTTGGAACGGGACAATTTTTGATAGATTCTGTTGTTCTAGGACTAGGAGTTAACCCGTCTGCATTAATGATGTGGCCCAAATATTCCACTGAGGGTTGCGCTAATCATTTTTTTAGATTTATTCTTAAATTAAAATCCTCCAATCGTGTGAAGAGCTGATGCAAATTGAACCAGTGTTCCGCCGGAGTTTTCCCTGATACTAGAATATCGTCTAAATAAGTGACGGTCTTTTTTAGACCGGCTGTTACAATGTCCATCGTTCGTTGAAAAATCATTGGGGCGGAGGAAATACCAAAAGGAAGTCTATTAAAATTGAATAGGCCTAGATGGGTGCTAATTGTTAACAGTTCGCTTGTAGTTTTTGTGACTGGTATTTGGGTGTATGCTTCTTTTAGATCTATGACCGAAAAAATAGTACCTTCTTGTAGTGTTCCAAAAATATCTTCGATTCGGGGAATAGGATAACATTCGGGCCTGACCCATGGGTTCAGAGTAACTTTGTAATCAATGCAAAGGCGTATGGAATTGTCCGACTTTTGAATGGGCACAACTGGAGATCCCCATTTACTGTATCGGCATTTACTAATAATCGCTTGGTTTTCCCAGTCCATAAGTATTTGTTCAATTTGTGACTTTAGTGCATAGGGTACCGAACGGGGTTTGACGAACTGGGGTTGTGCGTTGGGAAGGAGATTAACGTCTATTTGGCTTGGGAAACTTCCTAAGGTATCCGAAATTCGTGGGAAATTTTTTTTTAAGCTGTTTAATTTCTTGATCCTTGTAGGTGATGTCTTGTAGGATCTCGGGTATCTTGTTTAGAACATCTCTACCCACTATGGAGGTAGGGGAGTTATTAGTTACTAGGATATTTGTAGAATGTGTGCTGTCTTGGTAGCTTATTATTGCCGGGAAGTGCCCTATGGGTTGAATGTCATGTCCTGAAAATGATTTTAGAACTACCTTGGTGTCCTCCATTGGGATAAGGTTGAAAAGTACATTATACGTTTGATTATTAATGATTGCTACATCTGAGCCTGTATCTATAACCATTTCTAATGGTATACCATTTATTTTTACCGTTACCCGGAATGAATGGTTTTTGTCGATATCCGTTTCATTTGTCATCATGTTTATGTGTTTGTACTCCTTGTTTTCTATCTTTTTAGTCTCGTGTAGTACTCTGTTAGTCGCTGGGTATGCTATTGCCGGGAAATTGGGTTGAGTCGTAGGTATATTTCGAGGAGTATACTGAGAGGAGTAATAATTGTTGAAAGTTTGTTTTATTTGGCAATTGTATCTATAATGCCCCACGTTTCCGCAATTGTAACAGGTTGGGTTTTCATTCCGTGGGAAATTTCGACGTGGGGGTTGATAGTAATTCTCCAATGTTTGCGGGGTGTTTTGTACATGCGTATACTTTGTGGGTATGTTTATTTGGTTGCTGTAGGCGTGGTTCGTCGCATTATTTTGGTTAAGCGCTTCGGCCATTTCCCAGGTTTGCGCAATTTTTAACTTCCCTTTAAACGTTATATTATCGGACGTTATTACGTGACCTCTTATTCCGGAGGATTGTATCCCCGCTCCGAATTGGGAGGACAGGAAAAGGTCCCAGCTGGGGCCTAGATCGCACTGAGAGGCCAATGCTATCAAAGCTTCCGCATATTCAGTAATTGTTTCGCCATCTTGATGGATGCGTTGACGAAGCTTGTTGATTGCTAGACCTCTGTTGTTATTGTTGTTTCCCAAAATAGTTTTTACGTCCTCTATTGACATTTCCAACATAGGCCTTGGTGCAAAGGCTAACTTTAATTTTGAATATAGGCCGTGACCGCATGATGATAAGAATAAGGATAGGAAATTTGCCTCCGGTTGATGTCGATGGATAAGCATAAAACGTTCTAGGTAATGATCTGTTGGTTCTTCCAAGTCGTAGATTATCGAATGTACGTTGGGCGCCAGTGTTGCGTTTGGACCGATGGGTCCCCCAGTCTGAAGGGGAATAATACAGTCCGTGATCGGGGGTCCGGGATGGTCAATGACTGGATCCAGGGGGCCGGGTTTTATCTATTTAGTCATGGAATCACTTGGACAACGTAAGTTTTAAAGTTTATTCGAATCAGAGAAATTACAATAAAAAAAAGAAATTCTATTACAAAAACAAATATTTAATGATTAATGGTGTTTTGTTTTCCACCTTTATAATTTTTAAAACAAAGGGGGAAAGAAAAAGTTAACATTACTTGTCAGTCATTAATGTCAGTATTACTAAATAATAAAAAATTTTAACAATATATGTCAGTCATAAATATCAGTATTACTAAATTTTATAATGATATTTTATTAAAATATATTATAACGTCAATCACAAATGTCAGTATTACTAAAGAGAGTTAATTTAAATTTAAGTTAAAATATCAAGTCACACTGGATTTCCAGCCCACTCCCTCCCCTCTCCCCTAAAAATCCCAGATCATCAATATCTCCCCCACCCCTTCGTTCGAACAGCCAAATGGCACTGCATTGAATTCATTAACAATACCACTACCAGATGCTAAAATATGTATTATAATATAAATATTTTAATAATTAATTTACAGTAATAGATAGTCTGTCATTATTTTAGGCTTAACATTATTAATTTAATATCCCCAGGTTGGATATTTAAGCTAGAGTACCTTGTTTTATTAAATGTTTAATTAATTTATCAAACCTTATATTCTTGGATATGATATTTCTTCTCTTTTTAAACTTTATTGGAATATCGTCAATTATGTAGAGGCTCTTCCTAACATAATTATTCCTGGGGTTTTATTAGGGTAACCTTGTTTGCTAGAAAAAACTTATCTCAAAAAACATTCTATTTGGTTATTATTATTTTTTTATAAGTTAATTTTTATTTATTAATTATAACTTTGATTGTATTTATTTACCCCCTCCCTTGAATCACCATTAACAGTAAGGAAGAGAATTAAGTTAAGCCACAGGAGTGACAATATACACCTATACCTACTATAACTATTTTTTATTTTTTTCATAAAAAAAAGAATTTTATTAAAATAAATTTTTATAAACATTTGTATATAAATTAAAAACTAAATATTATTTAAAATAAAAGAAATCGACCTTCATCATATTTTAGCATCCACCAAAAATTTTATTAATTTCCCGCTCATATTTCGTTTAATTTAATCAAGACCACATTACGGTAGAAGTTTATTCAAAAGTTTTTAAATATTGGATTAATGATATAATAAATAATTTTTTAGGTTTATCAACATCTATTGAGGTTGTAAATGCGGATCTCAAAGAAATTACAATGACTGAAGCGGCAGGGGAAGATCATTACAATAAAGTGAAGTACCTTTTACTTTCAGCTCGTATTATCTTATTAAAAACGGAATGAAAGAAGAATTAACATTTCTTAATAAATTTACAAAAGCAATAATATTATCACAGCGTTCAAGCTCAACGAGCTTTATATTAATCTACCATAGAATAAATTGTTAAAAATAAATTTAAAAAATATTTATTATACCTTTTTCTTTAGGCGCTCCCATAGAAATCCATACTATTTTTAATATAAGAATTTCATAATATCTCAAAATAAATGTTTACATGCTCAATATAATATTTTTCACTAATATTTAGACCTGTGCCCGATTACACGCCGGGAAACCGCCAAGTCAATATTTTTTTATGGTGGTGGCGTGGTATACATAACTTTTAGAATGCTAAATTATATATTAAATTATTATTATTTAATTTGAATATTAACATTAATATAATTAAAAAATGAATTGTTTCTATTGGCATAATAATAAAATAGTTTATATCAATCATATTCATACATCATATTTCAAAATTATACATATATTAGTACAAATTAATTTATTTTATGGACTTACACGTTTTAAACTACCATATGTTTATTGCCAGCTCTAATTGATGTTTTTTGAGTATCTTTTTAATATATAAACTATTATATATTTATATAGAACTTTATTTTGAAATTTTAAATTTGTTTCATTCAGCTCTAATTATTTTAATGTGTATAAAATAAATATAAAATCTAATAGGGTGATTTTTGATATGCTAGATGGATTTAATGTTTGATTCTCTAAACATTGATTTTCTAAAGGTTTGAAATTTAAATAAAATGATTACTATAAAAAATAAATATTATATATGATTCCTTATAATGGCCTGATAGGACAAAAAATAATATTAATGTATTATGTGTTTATTTATAAATAAAGGCGCATTTTTAGATTGATTCTAGACCAAGATTCTGTTCTATCACTTTTGATTTATGGACAGATCATTACAAGCGTCGAAATTAGATCACGTTTATTTTTCGTCATTTAAATAATTTTGATTTAAAATAGATCGGTGAAACCATATTATCTGAGATCGATAGTATGGAAGAGGAATTCCATTTCCAATTAAACTATACAGATGGTAACTGATGCTGGGGCTGATGTCAAAGGAAATGTCAGATTGGGTGATTATGTTATAAGCATCATTTATCCTTAGGGCATGGACTTCATAGTAACAGTTGATGGCATAAAAAAGTTACCACAATTAATATTTGATTAAAAAAAATAGAGAAATCATATTAGCCCTTAGATATCGAGTAGCTGATTTGGAATGTGAAATTGAAGATGAGCATCATATATGTCTGCTATTAATTTATTAGACATATCATATTTTGGATATTGAATATTCTGATCCATACCTTGATGAACATTTTGATACTGGTGAAGCTGATAATATAAATTGCATTTCGCTAACAGATCTAAATAATTCGAAGTTTTAAAATTAAATTGCCTTACCCACTGGTACAGCTTATTAATTATGATAGAAAGTATACGTAGTGTTCAAGATTCCTATAAATAATTTAGGAAATTCGAAAAGCCTTTTAATAACGAATGGATATAATTAACGAACTTTACACATTATTAAATCCATTCAGAGGGTCGGTGGACTTTTTCCTCTCCCATAAGGGATCTACAATAAATTTAGGATTATTATTAATGAATAAATTTGATTGCTCAGATATCATTTGTCTAAAAGAATATAAGCAAAAAAAGCTTAACCATAGGTTTCCAATAACCGAATTACAAGTAATTTATTTTATATTATATTTTATTAAATTATAAATTAAATAATCCAAGATTTCAAAATCTTATAAAATTGTTTTAGAATTGTTAATATTTTCGACCATTACGGTAAAATTTACTTAAGGTAAGTTTGATTTTTTTTTTATTTTATAATATTATAGATAAGTTAATAGTTCATTTGTTAACACTTCGAACGACTAACTTAAAATTATAAACAAAATGATTGCTTAATTATATTATATTAGCACATTAAATAAATATAATATATATAAAGGATTGTAAAAAAAAGCTTGAGAGCAAAAATATTACGCTCTATATTGTTATTATACTTGAATCAAATGATCTATCTTATAAAACATATTATATAACAGTATATTCATAATTTAATGGTGAAGATGAGTGTCGAACTAGCGACCTTCGCATTATTATGAAACGACATCATTGCAATCTGAAATTAGACATCAAAACTTATAGAGCATGATAGAAATGCACAGAGTAAAAATCTAGTTGAAGATAATGCCCAGTTCATATATAGCTAAAATAGATCATAAACATTCTCTTCCAAGCAACGATTATAACAACATCAATAGCGATCAAGAATGCCATATTTTACTCAGCAACATAGTATACCAGAAGAGGATTCACGAACCTTTTTGATAAAAAGAGACTGGAACTTCCTATGCTTGCTAATTTAGCTAGGGTTCGTTGTATAGCTGCAACCAGTATACCCAGCGCAAGAATTTCCCATTGCTGGATTAATACCTGTAGTAAAGGATTAATTTATTGTAATATTTTATTTACATATTATGATATTTGTCATTTAGATATGATTATATATATATATTTACGATTAATATAATAGGTGTTGTTTAACTTCCTAATGTGTGATGTACACGCTTATCCTTAATGTTTCTACTGGTATCGCATTATGATTGAATTATAAAACTGAATAAAATGTCAATGATAACTGATATACATTGTTATTGAATTATAAAACTAAATAAAATGTAAATGATGGTTCCACCTTCGCTTAAATACCCAATGCAAAAGGATTTCTTTATGTCCCACGAATCTTGATAAAATACTATTTATTCATAACATGATTTCTGATTTATTATATTTCATACAATATATTTTTCTTGCATTCAAAATCTATATTTTAATTTGTTATAATAAACATTAGAATATTACTAATATGGGTGGTTTATGTAACTCTGATCTGAGTAAAAATGCAATTCCTTAGTCTATTTCTGAGAATGAGAAAGTACATAAACTTAAATTGGGGAGATATAGATAATAATTTAAGATATTAATTAAACTATACTTAACAATATGTTAGAAATAAGAGCCTAAATAAATTTTAAAAAAAATGCAATACATTCAAAGGTTTTAAACCTTTTTATATTAGTTTAATGTTTAATAATATCAGCTAACTCCGAATAGAGAGATTTATTTAATCAAACTTCCTAATTATTTATAAAGTTTGACAGCTGAGAGATTTATTAAATGAATAAAACTAAAGGTCCATTGATTTATAAAAGAAGAAATAAGAATAATGAATATAAAGTTGAAATGATTTTCTTAAAAGATGAAAACTATGTATCTGAATGAGTAAATGATTTCAACTGTAGCCAATGAGGACATAATATGTCATTGACTGTAGGACAAAAAATTCAAAATTATGAAAAAATATTTTACTATGAAAATTGTCAGAAAGGCATAAAGCATATAAAAAGCTCGTAAGACGATTAAAAGCATGAAAATTGCATAGAGAATAATGCACAACTTCTTAATATGCAAAGAGCAGACAAATTACGCCCAAAGGCCAAAACATAGAAAAATAAAATATTACATGAAAGCACGCAAAAAGATGCAAGAGCACGTATAATATGAAAAAGAGACGCATAAAAGACAAAATGATAATAAAAGTCATAGAATGACGCAATAACAAGAAAAGTATACAAAAAAATTCAAAGAGGCAAAATGACATAGAGCAAGAGCATCTAATAAGAGTTAAATATGTCAAAAATATTCGAACATGCTGGTTTTTTGAGGGCTGTTCGGGTACATTATAAATCAAAAAATTATTCATTATATGGATGAGATACTTTTATAGATAAATAGCAAAACAAGTCATATATTAAATGAGTGTAAATTTTAAAAATATCGATGGCTCTAAAAAGAGCTTATAGTAAAAATATACCTAAAAAATGTGAAAATAACAAACAAAATCGACCACGGAGGGACTCGAACCCCCAATCTTCCGATTCGAAGTCGGACGCCTTATCCATTAGGCCACGCAGTCAGTTAAAGAAATGGTGATAAGTTATAATTTATAACAAACATAAATTATCAAAATAATTATAAATGTATTATGGTTTTTTTTAATATTATGAATGTGTCAAATATTAAAAACGCTTTACTTTTGGTGGATGTTCAAAATGACTTTATTAGTGGCTCATTAGCACTGAAAAATTGTCCTGCTAAAGAAGATGGAGCAGATATAATTCCAATAATAAATGATGAAATTCTCCAGGATCAACTATGTTCACAATTTTTTTCTATTATAGTATATACTCAAGATTGGCATCCAAAAAGTCATTGCTCCTTTATTGATAATATTGAACATTCTCATTTTGATTATCAAAGCAATATAGTACATTTAGTAAATATAATAGAAAAACAATTTTATTGTATTATAGGCTAAGCCAACAGATGTCAAAGTATTTGATCAAGTTTATTTAAAATATCCTCTCCTTAACATAACATACCCTCAAATAATGTGGCCTAAACATTGCATTGATAATACTTGGGGCGCTGAATTATGTAAGGATCTAAAAGTATCATAACTGAAAAATTTGAAACTTCCATTTATAAATTTTATATATGTCACCTTACTATTTAGTTCCTGAAAATTTTTTGAAATATAATTAATAATATAAAAATTATTAATTAGATATGAATATTTTTGCAACAAAAATATTTCATGAGAATAGCCAGTAATCTACTTGTGTTTTATAATTGAATTTGGGGTCCAAACTCAATAGTAGGCAAAGGGAAAAAAGGTGAGATTATTCAAATTTTTATATTTGGATGGTAGAGTTTTTTACTTAGAAAATGAAATTTTGTGAAACAATTGGCTTCACTTAATAATCCTAAGTGAGGGGAACATCATATTTCCATGAGATGAGGGTTATTAGAAGGCTGCAATGGGCAGGTTTTTTCCATTTTCCCATTGTTTTATAATTTTTTAACCCATTTACATGCCAGCCTGGTTTTTCTAAATTCACTTGCTCAACCCATTTACCTGAAAATTTTGTTTAACCTGCCCAACCAATGCTTAGAATTATTTGATTGGCTGGTTTGGTTTATTATTTATTTTATGTATATATTTTTACTTTAACCTAATTACTATCAAATAAAACATTAATTGGCTTTTTTATTTTGAATTTACAACTTCTTATAGATTGAAAATTTCCTGGATGGCTCAAGGAAATTTTCTATCAGGTTTTTTTTAGTTTGGATGATAATTGTTTTTACCCAAATTCTGGACAAAAGTACACTAGAAAAAAAAGACATGGAACAAAAATACTTTTGACCCTTTAATACTCTGTGTAGGGTATATAGGGTCCCAGGCATGCTAGAATTGAAATGACATAATAACGGTTAATTATATATATCTCGAATTATCAGTATCCTATCCTCATTAAATATATCTTAGAATCTATATTCTAAATTTCATTTATGTAGGTTTAGTAGTTTCAAAGATATAAGCATTCTATGACTGATTGGGGTCTGTTTATTGTATTTAATACATGCATAGAAAGTAGGAAAAAATTATAAATTAATTTTACACTTGATCTCATGGTGAAAATAATCAAATATTTGAAGCAGGGTTGTGCTTGACTGGTCAAATATGATTCCGTCAATTGACCGATATTTAATTAACTGGTCAAATTTGATATACCTATGTGTGGAAGAAATGATTATTTTAAAAAAAAAAAATTTCTTTCTTTTCTAAGCATTTAAAAGAATTATTAAAATTTGGGTATTTTTGTCCTGGTGTCTTTTTGTTCAGTGGTATTTTTGTCCAGGGTACTTTGTGCCAAAAATGATTCTAACTGATTATTATTTGTCTGGCCTCTAAAATATATTTTGTACAAGTTTCCCATAAAAAAGACCTAATCCAAAAATATTTTTTCCAGACCATGGGCTGATTTTTTAAACTGATTGGAACTGCTAGATACTATAAATACAACTATTCCATTTACTATACAATTTCAAAACGTATCTTCCATAATCACTCATGGTATGTAGGAAATATATATTCTTCAAAATCTATGCCTACAAATGATATTGTAACCTATGTTTTCGGAAATGGCAGTATTTCTCCCTGGTGAACATAGATATACATTATTTTAAAATAACTAAATCACACAATAACCTGAATGAGTTATTTTATCCCATTTGATGACCTTTGCCGATTTTGAGTATCATTTTCTATCGAATATAAGAATTAGAGGTCTGCTATGGGCCCACCCATTATAAAGCTCAGAAAAATAAATATTAAAAATGACTTAAAGAGATTGAAAAGGTTAGAAATGTATGTAAAAGATTACAATGAAAAAATCCTAAAGAGAATATTGTATGCATGATAAAGAAAAAACGAAAGAATTGTTAAAAAAATGGACCTAAATGTATAAATTATTTTTAAAAAGACAAAAGAATTATCAAAAATGAGAAGCAAAATAAATTAAGAGAAGATATAGTAAGAATAATAAAGTAAAGAAAATCGCAAAAAGTTAGAAATAAATTGAGAAAAGATACAGTAAGAAAGATAACGTAAAGAAATCGCAAAAATTTAGAAATAAATTTAAGAAAAATTGACAAAAAATTTAAAAAAAATTACGATTTTCCTTTTTTGAATGGGAATTTTCCTTTTTTGATTGACACTTTTCCTTTCCTTTTGGGAGTTTTCCTTTTTCGATTGACACTTTTCCTTTTTTGATTGGACCTTTTCCTTTTTTGTTTGACACTTTTCCTTTTTTGATTGAACCTTTTCCTTTTCTTTTAAATTTTCCTTTTTTGATTGACACTTTTCCTTTTTTGTTTGGGCCTTTTCCTTTTTTGATTGAACTTTTTCCTTTTATGATTCACCCTTTTCCTTTTTTGATCGGACCTTTTCCTTTTATGATTGAAACTTTTTCTTTTTTGATTGGGACTTTTCCTTGGGAAACCCTGTATCTACCCTGATATTTGGTGGAGCATGTTAAAGCTGATAGGTCATGGAATATTATGAACAAAATCTTGATAATATTTAATATGGTTGCACCAAAAATTCAATAGGTGAATCCTGCAGGCCAAGACAAAAGACCGTACCGGTACATATATTTTTTATTAAATAAACTTGAATCTGGCCAAAAAATATATTTACAAACTTGCGCCGGTTATTGCCAATAAAAATTTTATATTTTCTTTGTAAAACTTTAGACTTAAAAAATTTTTTAAACTACTATTATAGCGCACACAGTACACAATTTTTATAATTAATTTTTATATGGTCTGGTGACGTTGTTTAAATCAGGGCTTCAAACCGGAACGAACCTTTATAATTTTAACTGTTATAAATATTTTTAGCCAGGTTCATAACGGTTTTTAAAAATAATTAATTTTTAATTATTAACCGAAATTTTAATTTTTCTATAGGGGCAAGAGTTGGGCAGTACCGCGAATACTTGTATTTAAGATACAAGATCCTTTTATATCTTGTACCCAGTATCTTTTTCACATTTCTAATAAGATACTAGTATCTGTATCTAAGATCCTTTGTTCTGAAAAGAATCTTGTTTCTTTCTTTTTAATATTAATGTTTAAAATTTTACATATCACAGTTTATATTTTATTAATTTCCTTTTTTTTTCAACCATATTTTAATATATTGACAGCCAAAATTAGCTGGAAAATTTACAACTCATATTAAGGTAGATAGATAAAAAATAACAACACCAAAATAGATTATAATATTTTATATACAAATGAACTTGATTGAATATCATTATCAATTTTATGTAATATTTTTAATTTGTAGGATGATTAACACTCATGGTAGTGAAGAAGAAGGTGTGAAATTTAAATTATAAAAATAAATTTTATATGCAAAATTTTTAAGAATAAAAATTAAAAAACTATGTACAGACAAGATGCAAAACCTGTATAAACAAAAAAATGATCTTAAACACAAATTTTGTTAAACATATTAAAGTATATTATTTATGTGTAGTTAAAAGGGACATAGGTTATCTTAAAAATTTAAGTTTAAAATATTGTCTACCTTTATTAAAAGCTGCCCAAGAATGGGCAAAAGATTATAAGAAAATATTTTACTATGATTTGAATATAATGAGGCTTTTTCGACATCAATATCACATCCATATTTTTAGAACTTATGGATTGAGTCGGTTAATAAAAATAATAATTTCAAAATATATTAATAAAAGGCCCTAAATGTAGTACCAGAGTATATAATCAAGCTCAAACTATAACACCAAAGGATTAACATCTAATAAAGAAAATGATGATTATTTTTCTTTTGATAAAACAAATGTTGCTGAATTCTATAATACAAATAACATTGAGTAGGAGGTTTAAAATTGTATTAAAGAAAGTCGAAATACATTATAGATACTTAATTATCATCCTTCCATTAAGAAATTTTTTTATACATATAATACTCCAATACCTTCAACAGTTACAATTGAAAGGTTATTTAGTTTTGGTACAATGTTAAGTACGCCGAAACGGCAAAGGTCTAATGATAAATTATTTTAAAAATTTGATTATCTTATAAAATAATGAATGTAATATACTCTTTTGCAAATTAACATTTCAACTCTAATTAAAAATACTAGTCTCCCTTAAGAATAGGCTAATACTAATATTAAAATGCTTGATTATTATAATTAACTCATCATTAATTTTTTTTATTAATTATTGTTTGTATGTTATATTCTTCACAAATAAATATTAAAAACTGTAATTTATAAACTATTCCAATTTAATTGGTAATGATAATTTAAAAGTATCTGGTATATATACTCTAATTAAGCAAAAGATACAAGTACCTTTTATCTTGTATATTTTTGATATTTCTTTTTCACAAAGAATCTGTATCTGTGTCTAGATTCTTTTTCCGGAGGACCTGCCCAACTCTGGGGGCAATTTAATTCGTGATTTCTTTTCGATTTAAAATTTATTTACAATTAAATCGACATTATCTTCATATCAATCAATATTAATTTTATTGTTTCACTTAATTTACTCGATTTAATAGATATTAGGCAAATTACTAGTTAATTATTAGATAAGAAATAATCTTCATCGTTAAATTAAATAAGGAATTATAAAAATATAAATTAAAAAATTCTTAATTTTTTTAAAAAAAATCAAATTTATAAAAACCGGAACGAACCGAAAAGAACCGTTGTAAATTCTAAACCGAACCAACCCGGTTCAAAGCTCTAGTTTAAATCTTAGGTAAAATGTGTAATTTAACTGCTTTATTTATCAAATTAGTAAAAACTTGCTATTTTGTTTAAATTATTGGTGCACCAATACCACTTTTTGGAGGTCGATCCGATATCATATTTTATTTTGTATTCTGTAAACATACTAATCGTTTTAATATTAAATGCATACATCTAGTGCAGGCGCGTACGCAGGAATTTTGTCTGGGGGGGGGGGAATAAAATTTTTTAAGAAATATTATTGATAATTAAAAATACTAAGCATAAATTTATTAGGACTAATAACTTTTCTAATACGCAATTTTAAATTAATGTGA